TAGCCAGAGAGGTGTTATAGGCATGGACTGGAGTAGGATCTCGTGTGTCAGAGTAAAGAATAAGAACACAGACATGTGGATAACGTAGAAACAGAGACAGCTTATTAAGAACTAGAAAACATACCTGAGCCAGAGAGCTGGAGAAGGGTTACAAAGCCAAAGTTGCACTCGATTCCAGCCCCAAGAGTGGTGAGGCTTTGTGGGTTCCCCTCACCCCACTCTCCTGACACAGAAGGGCACGGTGTAGCTCTTACAGTCAGAACTTTCTGTCCTGCCTGGTCCCGCTGCCAATTAGCCCCAAATAAGCACACCGAGATATATTAATTATTAAATTGTTTGGCCAATGGCTTAGGCTAGCTCTCTCTTAATTATTAACCCATCTCTATTCATCTAAGTATCTCCTCCACGTGATCTACCTTACCGGAGAAGGGTCTGGACCTGTTACTCCTTCCTCTGCTACACGGTGTCGCTCCCGTGGCCTCTCTCTGCATCCTCTCCCCAGCCTTCCCCTCCTCTGGTGGTCCCGCCTATGCCTCCTGCCAATCAACCGCTAAGAGAAACATATACACAGCTCTCAAGCTCTCAAGAATATCTTCAGTCCTTGCAGGACAACTGGTTATGGCAGGGCCCATGAGACTGTCCCCAGCTGTGGAAATGCCCTGTGGGGTTGATTATGATAACCACTCCACACGTGATTCCTGAGCCCCTCGCTTAAACTAAGGCCAAAGAGCCACATGTGGCTGGTGGCTACCATATTGAACCATCCAGATCCAGAGTGATACACAATCAATAAGTAAATGGGTAGCTAAGCCCTTGCCCTCAAGATAGACCAGTATAATGTTAGTTATTGGGAAGGGCTTTGAAGAAAGCAAAGCAGAGTGGAGGTACCGAGAATAATGTGATGGGGTTCACTGCAAAGAAGTGATAGTCAGGAAACCTCTCTTTGGGTGTGGGATGTTCTGACAGGGGCTCTGTGATGAAAGTAGAACAGCTGGAGTGTGTCAGCAAACCAGAGGGGACATGGGTCACAACATGCCCAAGCTTGCAGGCTGTTACACAAGAGCAGACTTCTCTGTGATGTGAAACCAGAGAAGCTGCAAAAACCACCCAGAACCAATTCTGACCTTCACACATGAATCCCTCTGTCGTTCCAGCAGAAGATTTGTGGGTGGCTGTGGGAGAAATAGTGGAAGCTTAGCTCAGGGCTAAAAGGTGCCTCGGAACACTAGAGTCGACGGGACTGCTGGTGAATTGGCTGTGTGAAGAAGGCTGAGGATTCTAGGCCCAAGTGAGCAATGGCAGAGCCGTGGATGTACTTAAACATTCACGTGTGGCACACATGTTTGAGAGAATGGAGCTCAAAGGGAAACGGAGGCTTAAAAAGCCAGTGCCTGTGTACAGTTGGGCCTTAGCTAAGCTTCTGGTCCAGCAGCTCCAAGAAGCTAGCCTTGGCCGCCCATCCCAGTATGCCGATTAGAGAGATGAGTGACGGTGAAAGGCAGAGTGAAATTTCAAGTGATGTGTTGGGAAGAGCAAAAGGGGAAGGAGTCTAGTGAGCACTTGTCTTCTAGGAATTGATATGAGCTTTAGGTTTAAATAGAGGAAGAATCAGGACCAAAGAATTGTAATTAAGGCACCTTAGTCAAAGCTGGGTCCCACCCATCATTGTCTGAAAGATGACGTAATAACAAACCCATCTTTTAATCACTGTTATGGTCAGAATTCCCTCAGGATAATCTATCCAGCATATAGCCTCTCCATCATAAATCGCTCTTCTCACCTTAGCGATGGTCTCCTGGGATCCAAGGTGACTGTGGCATTAGGACAATGACTCTTTGTGCCTTAATCGTAAAGAGCTGAGACAGCTCAGACTGGCAGGCATGTCTTAATGACTGCCGTGTCTGGCAGAGTGAAGCAGGAGTGAACCAAAGTAAGATAGACGGACGCACAATGAAGGCCGAGTGCAGGGTCCATCCAGCTTCAGGTACCCTCCCCGAACCCCACTCCCCATGCCGTGAAAGGGCTCAGTGTGTTTTCAGCAAAATCAGCTTCTCCCTGTCTGTGGCAAGTATTGTGGCCACCCCCTCTTCTGCTTTTCCCATGGCCTCTCCTTGCTGCCACTCCTGAGGGACCCGCACCTACTGTTGACAGAGTGCTCCAGTCTGAAAATACCAGTGTTCCTGTGTCAGAGAGATTTATCAGGCTCTTCGGAGCACCAGGGAGCACTGACCCTCACCTGGGTCCTGGGGCACCCGCCATCTCCTGTGTCCCTCTCAGTTTGGACCCAAAGCTCCAGCATCTCACACAGTTGCCCTTGAGCCCTGTTCTAAGTGGGACTCAAAGGCCAATATGTCATCCCCTCTCTTCCTAGATGTCAGATGTCCTTGTCCCTAAATACCCTCTTCTCTATTCTAAATATAAAAGCACACTGAGCATAGGCACAAAGCAAACTGCATTGAGATGAGTTCCGGTGACACGCCCTACCTCCTAATAAGCAAATTGTGCCTGTGGCCCAAATTGATATTTGTTTAATGTAGTTCCAATCAAAATTCTAATAGGAGTGTATGTTGCAATTGATTATGTTTTATGAAATAATCAAAATAATCAAGAAAGTATTCTAGGGAGAAAAAAAGAGGAACCAGGAGGAACCATTCACTCTGCTGGATATCAAATGTACTCCAAATATCTAAGAAGGAATTAACAGTAAGCCCCAGTAGCTAGACCAGATGTGCAGACTGGGCAACTGGGAGCAAGTTGTAGTAAATGTAAAATGTGGTATGAGGGGGGTGGTTTCTTACACCCTAGTGAGGGATGGTGACATAACACACGCTGCTGATAGAATGGAGAGGCTCAAGGAAAAACAACTGTACTCAAGATAAATCCAGTGCTAGGTGACTCAACATAAAACAAAACAAAAACACTAAGTCCGAAGGACACGGTGGTGCCACACCTCTAATGCCAGCATTTACGAACCTAGGGAAGGAAGACTGTTGGAAGCTTGGGGCAGGCCTGGGCTTCATAGCAAGTGCCAGGCCAGCCATGACTAAATAACAAGGCCCTATCCTAAAACACAAGAGCAAACAAACAAAATTAGGCCAAAAGGCTCTAATGAAACCATAAATCTATTACTAGGACTCAACGTGATGTAAGTAAATGATCTACCTACAAAAAGAGAAAACATGGATTGATATACCTCACCCAAAAACAAAACACAAAATTGCATTTCCACATATGAAAGAAGCCACAAGAGGAAAAGAATTATAAATTTGCTATCTAAAATTTCAGGCGCCTACGTGTTAAACATATTTTTTTAAAAAACTCTCAAAACAGCTAGAAGGTAGCATTTTAAATGTTGCAGCAGCAGGTGTCATAAAGCGCTCTTACAAATTAGTAATAAACTCCTGAGCACCACAATCTAAAAGTGACACAAATGGACACTTCACAAAAGAGAGACAGGGAATAGCCAGGAAGCCTTTGGAGACAACCTAGCTTTATTAATAATCAAACCCACAGACATGGGTAAGGGAGATGGCTCAGTGGCTGTGTTCAGAGTCCCCAGAACCCACATATGTCCACGCATGGTGTACATGTCTATGACCTCATCGTTCCTATGGAGAAGTGGAAGACAGAGATAGGAGAATCCCCAGAAACTCAACCAGCTCACCTGTCATATGGATTAGTCAACCAGAGACCCTGTGTCAAGCAAAGTAGGTGTTGAGGACTGACACCTGACGTTGTCCTTTGATTGCTACACACATGCAGTGGCAAGTGCACACCTGTGCATGCACACGCACGCACATACATATAAACAAAATGAATCTTCTTTTCTAAGTCACTGAAGCATAATGACACAGTTTCCCTATCTGTCAAGGCCTCTTAGTGGCAGTGCTCCATGTAAGCCGTGGGAGTCAGACCTTCTCAGGCACAGCCAGCCGAAAGGTATTTGAGGCAAAACGCTGCCATGTGAACCAAGAGAACCATTTGTAGGCCTGTGACGGAAGGCAGTTCATTACAGCCCAAAGCGAGCCAGCCATGATGACACATGCCTGGAATCCTAGCACTCAGGAGGCCCAGGCAAGAGAATCAAGACGCCAAGGCCATCCTCGGCTACATAGGGAGGACAAGGCCAGCCTGGACTGTACAAGAAACCCTGTCACAAACATACAAAATGGTGCCACGTCCCTATTACATGATACTACTATATTGTCCCTTTAAACAGGAATGGGTGCTGTTTGAGAGAAACAAGGAAAGCACCGTGTTTGGATTGGTGATTGGTGGCTTATACCATTTCATTTCCTTTACACCCCCCTTCCCTACATTCTCTATACTCTTATGTTCTTAGGATAAGAAGTGGCATGTCCATATCCATTCTTTCCCTGGTTTGTTTGTTTGTTGTGTTTTGTTTCTTTGAGGTTTTTTTTTTTTTTTTTTTTTTGGTTGTTTTTCCAAAACAGAATCTCACTATATAACCCAAGCCAGTCTTGAACTCCCAACCCCTGATCTCAGTGCCTCAGCCTCACGAGTGTGTGTGTGTGTGTGTGTGTGTGTGTGTGTGTGTGTGTGTGTGAATTACAGGTGTGTGTCACCACACCACGCTTTCCTACCCACTTTCTAGTGCCATGGAAACCCATTTGCCGGGCCCACTTAGGTGCCCTGCTTCTGATGTTCCATAAATAAAAAGCAACTTGCAACCCCTTGCCCTTGCCTTGTACCCCACTCTGCACTTCTGAAGGCCCTGGCGTCTTTGTTCTCTTTCTGTAACGTTGTCTCTGAACATGGAGACCCCAGTCTTGTTTGCTTGCTGTCCTCCCACTATTCTTCCCAGAGGAAAAAAGAGAACATCGGCTTTCATGTTTCTAGCCCTCACCCGCCTGCCATCCGTGCTCACATGCGTGTTTGATTCGGCGCCTTTGGGGTGGGTCATGGGAACAAGTGGGGGGGTGCTGTTTTCTTTTGCATTGTGAAGAGTCACCGGCTCTACCTTTGTTCTTGTCCCGCAGACATGAAGCTGCCTGGTGTGCTCCCAGATTGGTACAGTTACGACTTTCTGTGCTGAAATTGTTCTGAAGACTCAAACAGAAAGCCTCAGCATCCAAGGGAAGCCAAAGGCATTTGAGAGGGAATAAAGCCAAAAGCCGGGAATTTCACTGACCTGTCCCTACCCACTCCAAAAAGAAGTCATGGCGAGCAAACGGAAATCTACAACTCCGTGCATGGTTCGGACGTCCCAAGTAGTAGAACAAGATGTGCTGGAGGAGGCAGACAGGGCCAAAGACAAAGGAATGGGCATGCCACAATCCGATGTGGCCAAGGACAGCTGGGCAACAGAGCCTGAAAACTCGTCCAAAGAAAACGAAGTGGTAGAGGTGAAATCGATGGGGGAAACCCAGTCCAAAAAACTCCAGGGTGGTTATGAGTGCAAATACTGTCCTTATTCCACACAAAATCTGAACGAGTTCACAGAGCACGTAGACATGCAGCACCCCAACGTGATTCTCAACCCCCTCTATGTGTGTGCAGAATGTAACTTCACAACCAAAAAGTATGACTCCTTGTCTGACCACAACTCCAAGTTCCATCCGGGGGAGACCAACTTCAAGCTGAAATTGATCAAGCGCAATAATCAAACTGTCTTAGAACAGTCCATCGAAACCGCCAACCATGCTGCGTCCGTCGCTGCCAGTGGTCCTGGAAGTGGTGACAATGACCCTGGGGTCTCCGTGAGTAAAATCCCCATGGCAAAGACAGGAAAACCCAAGGCCGATGCCAAGAAAGTGCCCAAGAAGCCTGACGAGGCCGCCCCGGAGAACCACACCGGTGGGGCTGCCCGCCTGGTGACAGACACAGCTGAGATCCTGTCCAGACTTGGAAGTGTGGAGCTCCTTCAAGATTCGCTGGGACACGTCATGCCTTCTGTACAGCTGCCACCAAATATCAACCTTGTCCCCAAGGTCCCCGTCCCTCTGAATACTACCAAATACAACTCCGCCCTGGACACGAATGCCACCATGATCAATTCTTTCAACAAGTTCCCTTACCCAACCCAGGCTGAGCTCTCCTGGCTAACAGCTGCCTCTAAACACCCAGAGGAGCACATCAGGATCTGGTTTGCCACCCAGCGCTTAAAACACGGCATCAGCTGGTCCCCAGAAGAGGTGGAGGAGGCCCGCAAGAAGATGTTCAATGGCACCATTCAGTCCGTACCCCCGACCATCACTGTGCTTCCGGCTCAGCTGGCCCCCACAAAAATGTCACAGCCTATCCTCCAGACAGCGCTGCCGTGCCAGATCCTTGGCCAGCCCAGCCTGGTGCTGACTCAAGTGACAAGCGGGTCAACGACCGTCTCTTGCTCTCCCATCACACTTGCGGTGGCTGGAGTGACCAACCATGGCCAGAAGAGACCTCTGGTGACTCCTCAAGCTGCCCCTGAGCCCAAGCGTCCACACATTGCCCAGGTGCCAGAACCTCCCCCCAAGGTGGCCAATACCCCGCTCACGCCAGCTAGCGACCGCAAGAAGACCAAGTTGCAGATTGCGCACCTCAAGGCGAGCTTTTTACAGAGCCAGTTCCCCGATGATGCTGAGGTCTACCGGCTCATTGAGGTGACAGGCCTTGCCAGGAGCGAAATCAAAAAGTGGTTCAGTGACCATCGCTACCGGTGTCAGAGGGGCATCGTCCACATCACCAGCGAATCCCTTGCCAAAGACCAGATGGCCATCGCAGGCACCCGGCACGGTCGCACCTATCACATCTACCCAGACTTTGCCCCCCAGAAGTTCAAAGAGAAAAGCCAGGGACAGTTGAAAACCCTGGAAGACAGCTTTCTGAAAAGCTCCTTTCCCACCCAGGCAGAAGTAGAGCGGCTGAGGGTGGACACCAAGCTGAGCAGGAGGGAAATCCACTCCTGGTTCTCAGAGAGGCGCAAGCTCCGAGACAGCATGGAGCAGGCCGTCTTGGATTCCATGGGATCCGGCAAAAAAGGCCCGGATGTGGTAGCCCCCAATGGTGCTCTATCTCGACTTGACCAGCTCTCCGGTGCCCAGTTAGCTGGTCCCCTGCCCAGCCCTTCATCAGCAATTATACAAAATCAAGAACAGGTCCATCTGCTAAGGAGCACTTTCGCAAGAACCCAGTGGCCCACTCCTCAGGAGTACGACCAGTTAGCGGCCAAGACCGGGCTGGTCCGGACTGAGATTGTGCGCTGGTTCAAGGAGAACAGGTGCTTGCTAAAAACTGGAACCTTGAGTTGGCTGGAGCAGTACCAACAGCATCGCCTGTCGGATGATCACAGCCATGACGCCATAGTAAGAAAAGTGGGAAAAGGAGTTCCTGAGAGCCCAAAGAACGGGAGCGAGGTGGCTCAACGCTATGCCAAGGACCCCAAAGCGTTCTGTGAGGAGAACTCCGACAAGCTGGTCCCCAGCGTGAAAGTGGGTGGCGAGCAAGCCAAGGACTGTTTGGCCGCCAGGCCCTCAGAGGCCACCTCAGACAGATCAGAGGGCAGCAGCCGAGACGGCCAGGGCAGTGAGGAAAACGAGGAGTCAGGCATCGTGGACTTGGTGGAAGTAACAGTTGGAGAGGAGGACGCCATCTCGGAGAAGTGGGCGAGCTGGAGTCAGAGAGTAGCAGAGGGCACAGCAGACAGGGCAGACTCCGACTCTGACAGCGCCCCTGCAGAGGCTGGCCATGCCTAGACAGGTAATTCTATCTGTCTACTCCAGAGCATGCGGGAGTGTGGGTTTCCGGTTTTAACTGGAAGATTAATATACACGGTGGGTTCCAAGATGGTGGCTCAGACAATGTACCTTTTTCCATTAATGTATTAATGGCCTGTATATGTTGACACAAATCATTCGGATCCACCAGATATGTCGTTGGCATGGTATATCCCAAGTATTTCTCATCAGAAACACCAGAGACTAGAACATTTCAGATTTCAGGGTTTTTTTTTTTTTCCAGAATTTGGAACATTTGCACATATGATGGGGTGTGCTGGGGGCTAGGACCCTAGTCTGACTCTGAAAATATTTATGCTTCAGGTGTACATTATACACAGAGACCAAAGGTAACTCCAATGCAACATTTTTCATAATTTTGTGCATGCTTGAAACATCATGTCACGATGTGGTGTTGCCTCTTCACATCATGAGAGCATTGGAAAGTTCCAGATTTTGAAGCATTTGATTGCTTAGAGTGTCAGATTCAAGATACTCAACCTGTGTTTATCATGTATGTCTGTGTGGTATAGTACGCTTTGAATGCATGTGCGTGATGAAATGGGTTCAGTGGTGCTCATTTGCATGTGCACTGCCTCACACACCCGTGCCCTCTTTGTGTGGCATGTAAGTCCTTTTTCAAGGCTCTTTGACAAGGGGATGGAGTAACTAGGGCCTGGTAGTCCTGCACCCTTATTTGTAAGGGATACCCTGCTTCCTGGACCTGTTTGGACACCTGCCTTTGGGCCTGTTCATACTTGGGTCCTTTCAAACTGTTAGAGCAACACACCCTCTGTGTGTATTATGGTCACAGTTGGGGAAAAGAAAGAAAGAAAGGAAGAAAGAAAGAAAGAAAGAAGGAGAGAATGAAAGAGAGAACAGGAAGGGAGGGAGGGAGGGAGGGAGGGAGGGAGGAGGTGTGTCTTTTCTTTCTTTTTTGTTTTATTTCAAGTTCCCTGAATTTGAGATTCAAGGTTGTTTGTTTACACCTGAAAGGCCTTGGAAATTCTCCTTATTTGCCTTGTGTGGCTCAGGGAAGGTGCCTTTCTGCTTAAGCCCCAGTAACCCCTTCAAGTCTGAACAAGACCAAGACCAGTGCACATTTAGACCTGTGGATCCACAAAAGCCAGGGAAGGGAGGTTGCCATGGTTACTAATGGCCGTGTCATCCACATAATGGGACAGGCCTTGAAGCTCTTGGTGCCTGTGCTTCCCAAGGGGTCAGTGCAAGTCAGAACCCCAGTGCAGCAGCTGGCTTGGCTGTGTGTGGAGAAAAGGGGCTCCTTGGCTGAGAGAACACAAGGGCGACCTGAAACAAAAGTCTGAAAGACCATGATTTGGCCAGGTGAGCTGCTCTAGAGCTCACTGGGAAAGCTACAGAAGGGGCCTCCCGAGATATCCTTTGAAACAAAGAGTCTCTAGGATGGTCCGGTGGTCCTGGAGAAAACCATAAGTTACACACGTCCATGCTGATGAACTTAGGACAACTTGGGTCAGCCATGCTCCTCATTATTAACTCATTTATCACCTGGCAAATTAGTAAATGCCTCTGGAAGCTTTTTCTAGCCAGTTCCAACAACAGTTTAATGAGCTGTCAACCCCAGTACCAACACATCTTCTCGAGGAACCACCGTGAGTCTGGGCAAGGATACAGCCCAAAGAGGAGGTGGGAGAGCTCTGAGATCAGCAGGCCTGTTAACAGGCCACCTGCTTTGTGTCTTCCCACTCTCTGGCCATTTCTCCATCTTTTTAGAAAGCCCTAGCATTCTAGCTAACAGTGGTTTTGCTTTGTCTTGTCTTATTTTTTTTGTCCTCACAAATGCTCTAGCTTGCCCTGAGTTTCTCTTCTTCATCTTGACCCACAGTATGAATTTACATGGTTCCTATTTCTTCCCACCCTAGAGAGGACAATAGGCTCAGCTCCATTCAACAATATATTGAGCATCCTGTATACTGGCAGCCATGGTCAATGCCAAAAGACGATGGAGACAGATGGTGCAGTTCCTGTTCCCAACAGAGCTCAGTTGGGCTGAAGGCAGAGACAGCACTTTCTGTTACAAGCTAGTATGACATGTGATATGATGGGGACATGTAATACAGCGTGGGTCCTCACTGGAGACATACTCACACCGGCCATCATAAGGGGTTAAAGATGGGATATTGACTCTGGGGTGGCTTTTAGGAGAGACAAGAAATCAGACAAAGAAAGGAGTTGTTCAAGCAGAAAGAGCAGCGCGGGCCAAGGTCCAGAGACAGGCAAAGGAACAGTACATTCGAGGACTAGAAGAGGGTTGGCATAGACAAAAAGTAGTTCTGGTTCTGCTAATGATTGAAAGAAGCAAACCTAACTGTTTTCTCCAAGAGGCCGAAGCTATTCTGACTAAGCTGAACCTGAGGACACAGTACTCCAATGTTAGCTTGGATGGAGCTTTCTCATTCCCACAGCTGACTAAGAGGGATGGCTGCCCCTCAGAGAGATGCAGCCACCTGGTATACACCATCTGGGTAAGCTATGACTGCCTAAATCCCTGAGGCCTGAAGGAAACAGAGATGGGAGATGCTAAGATCACCGGAAGAAGGTTTTGGGAAGGAGAAGGAAAGATGGGGAAGGTTTCCCAAGCAGCGGCAGCATAGCAGCTGTTCAGGACACCCGTGTCTTACTTAGTTCTCCAGTGGAGGTAACTTTCTATGTTCTTATAATCCAGAAAGTGAACCTCAGACAGCAAGGAACACACCCACGATCCTCCCTCCATCATCAGCTCAGCTGGATCCTAAAGCTGCTGCCATCTGGTCATCCTCCTTCCTCCCTATTTTACTGCCCTCCACCTTCTACCTAAGGGTGTGGAGAATGCCCAAGAGGGGTTGGAAGTTGACCACTCAGAGATGTAGGGACTACCTCTAGTTCCATTCCCCATCTGGTTGGGGAAGTGTGAGCTTGCAGCACATTCCTGAACCAGATACTCGGGCTTTTGAGCACCTGGTGCTGTATTCCCGTATTCATGTATTCATGATGGCTTGCATGTTATAGGAGATGGATCTACAGGCCACACAGGTAGTAGCAACTTAGAGAGTGGGAAAAGGTTATCCTAAATTATGGATCTCTTGAAACCCGTGGATATACCTAACACATGTATTGTGGATTGTGACTGGGGAGATGGCTCCGTTGATTAAGGTGACTGTTTAGTGGCCCTGTAGAAAGCTCAGCACAGCAGTGGCACATACTTGTAATCTCAACACTGGGGAGGCAGAGACAGGAGGTACTCAGAGCTGACTGGCCAACCAGCTTAGCCAAATCAGCAGTCTCCAGGCCAAATGGGTCTACTTTATTGCTGCTGCTGCTGCTGCTACTTGTAATAATGGTGATGATGGTGATGATGATGACAGTGGTGATGAAAGTGATAGTGATGATGATAGTAATGATGGTAGTGATGATGATGATTATGATTGTGTTGGTGATGATGATGGAGATAATGGTAATGGTGATGACTATGATGATGATTATGATGGTGATAATGAAGATGGTGGTGGTGATAATGATGGAATGATGAGGAGGAGGAGGATGATAAAGATGATTATGATGGTGATGATGATGGTGGTGGTGGTGATGATGGTGATGGTGATGATGGTGGTGGTGATGATGGTGGTGGTGATGATGATGGTGATGGTGATGATGGTGATGGTGGTGATGATGATGGTGATGATGGTGATGGTGGTGGTGATGATGATGGTGGTGATGGTGATGATGGTGGTGGTGATGATGGTGATGATGATGAGCTCCCGTTTATCTGCATATACTACATTCTTGGCATTCTCTGAAACATACGTATTAAGTCCTTTGAACCTCACCACTACCTAGGGAGGCAAGCACAGCTTTCTTTCCACCTTCTGGAGCACAAAAGCTGTTGAAACATGGAACCACCTCTCTCCACTCACTGAGGCTGACATCCTCTTCGATGGTGGCACCCACTGCCACAGCCCAGGCCAACAAATAGGAAGTAGACATAACATGCTTGGGAGGAGAAGCTAATAGAACATTCTGTATTAATTACTTTCTCATTAGTGTGATAATATATATGACAAAGACAACTTACAAAAAGGAAATTCATTATTGGTTCACAGTTTCAGAAATCTTAGTTCATTATTCAGAAAAAGCATGGGAATAGGGTCACCTCTGTCCCCAGTGGTGGCTTCATTACACTATGGACCAGAAAGCAGAGATAACTGCCCAGAAACAGAGCAGATATGCTCATCAGAGGCCTGCCCCTGGTGGCCTACTACTGTGAAATAGTGTCATAAGATGGGGACTGAGCATCAAGGCATGAACCAGTGGGAGCTATTTCAGAATTCAAACCATAGCTCATTGCTCAACAAGAGCCCTTGGAGAACCCTTGTCATGCTGGGCACTGCACATGTGTGCATAGCTTTGCCAAAAAGACCAAGATACAGCCCCTACCTGGAGCTCAGCCTAAAAAGGTAAGTTATATACATAAACCAGAAGTCCATCTGGACTGTCCTTTCTAGAGACATTTTTTTTATTTTTAATTATGTGATGCAGAGTGGGAGGGTTGTGCACAAGAGTGTAGTGTCCAGAAGAAGCTGTTGAATCCATTGGAGCTGGAGTTACAAGCAATTATGAGCTACCTACCCATCTTTGGATTCTGGTAGCCATACTTGGGTTTGATTAAGAGTGCATAAGAACATTATGTACTCTTAATCACACAGCCATGCCTCTAGCCCCCACCATCTGGACTGTTCATACAAGCTATGCACACAGAAATTGGAGGAGCCCTGAGGGAGAAAGGTGGCTTTTCTGGAAAAAAAGAAACCCACCCACCAACCCACAAGCGTGAGCCTTCTTCTCGTTCAAACAAAGGAAACTCGGAAAACTGAAGTAACTCACAAGAATTCACTCAGCTAGTGTCTAAATTTGGCTCAAGATCTCCAGCCACTACCTTCACTGCATCCGGATTTCTGACAGTTCCCA